CCTTATGATCCTTCTTCAGTCGTGTTGAAAACCTACAGATGTGCTCACTCGATTCTTGGCCAGGGTGATGTCAGGACTTCAGGCTAGGTAGGTATCAGAGAAAGGATAAGGGTCGGTGATACCACAGGAGCAGTGGCGGGGGAAACAAGGGCAGTCTGTGGGAGGAAATCACGAAACAGATATTAAAGTCGTCAGCATCGTATGTAATGTTTTGTTAATCTATATCAGTGATTAAAGAACATTGACGATATGGTCTGCATTGATTATTAATATTTACATATTGAAGGCTAGTTATATAAATTTGATAAGCCTAAATATACATTGGAGTTAAGTTTCCAGTCTGAAAGTCTTCTTAAATAATCTGTCAACAGAAATATAGTGATGAAGGTAGTGATGAATATGAAACCCATGATGATAAAACCTAAACACAGAGATTAAGAATGATCACGTATGAAATAAGTCATACACAGAAATAGTTTTGTATTGCCCTTTTACTGACACAGGTGCTTTATTACGTACTAACCTCTGCGCAGTCTTGTTAAGGCATCCTCGGGATTCATATGCTTCGATTCCGCCATCAGCACGACCAGTGCCAACCTGCCGAGTTAATTCAGTGTCAAGATTACAACACCAATGGACATTTCGGACAGAATGCCATTTGTTCAACAATTTTATCAAAATCTAAAGTCTTCAGCCTTATCAGATATTATGTTTTTATATCGTTTATTAATAATAGTGAATTATACACATTACCCTCTGTGCCTTCTGATACTCACACAAAGAAAACGAACACGAAGATGGTTTGCTTCATTGTAATGCTTAGATTTTCCAGCTTGCACTGAGTCGTCAGAGGTCCTGCTCGCGCTATTTATGGGACGAGGCCAGGGCAAGGGAGGTCAGCATGGAGTTACCAGTTAGCTATTTATTATTCACTATTATCTTCTCCTTTAATCATGTTATATGATTGTCGTGATAACTGCTTCATCGACACTCAAAAATAGATACGTTTCAGAGTATGAATGACCGAAAGAAACTATGGAAAAGAAAGGAAGGAGATTAAGATGTATGTGAAGCAAAGGTGGAATTTCTTACGGAATTTCTTGCTTCTTCTCATTACGTCTTTTTGTTCCCCGGACTTCAAATTCTAAGAAGCTGGATTCACTGTGATGTTACAACGCGATATTTGAATAATAAAGGAGCATATACACGCACGGATACACATACACAAGCATATACTGTATATATATATATACATATTTATATGAACCGTATTCATGTTGACAAATGTAAAAAAATGTATGAATGAGAATAAATAACTTTACAATACAAGACATGTATTTGAGCGGTTCCGATTATATCTTAGTCAGAAATACACGTAGCTACTCATTCTCATTCAGACCAAGTCTACAATATATATATACTACAAATACTACATATAAATAGCAATATGCTGCTTATTCGTATCTTTTATGCATACATCAGTATTTGGATTAATTTCTCTCTTTCTCTCTCTCTGGTAGCACTTATTCCATCATTTTTATTATTTGTTATCATTATCGTTACTGTTATAATCATTATTATTTTTATTTAATCACTACCATAAATGTTAGTACGAGAGAGTTAGAGACAGAGAGAGAGAGAAAGAGAGAGAGAGAGAGAGAGAGAGAGACCGAGAGCAGGGAAGAGAACAAGAGAGAGAGAAAGGGAGAGAGGGAGAAAAAAAAGAGAACAAGAAAAAGAGAGAACAAGGGAGAGAAAGACAGCGAGAGAGAAAGAACGAGAGCGAGAGAGAGAGAGAGAGAGAGAGAACGAAAGAGAGAGAGCGCGAGAAAAAGAGAGAACGAGGGAGAGAAAGACAGCGAGAGAGAAAGAACGAGAGAGAGAGAGAGAGAGAGGAAGAACGAGAGAGATAGAGAAAAAGAGAGAAAGAACAAGAGAGACAAAGAACGAGATAGAGAGGAGGCAAGAGAGTTTTTCAATAATTCGCTCTAAGCCTGGCAGTGCATTCAGCAGCCAATCAGCGTTTGTAACCAGCAATGACGTCGGTAGCCAAACTCCACACACAAACACACACACACAGACATACATGTATATATATATATATATATATATATATATATATATATATATATATATATATATATATATATATATATATATATATATATATATATATATATATATAACATAAACATACAATATATACATAATATATATACATAATATATATACATACATATATACACATACATGTATATATATGTATATATATATGTGTATATTTATATACATATCTGTATATATCTGTATATGTATACATATATATGCTTACACCAATTTATTTATCTGTCGACGTCAGTGATTAACGTTTTCAGAAATTGTGACCTGATTATAGCATTGGTTTTAGTAAAGCGATCTGACGGAAATTAATAAACAGATGTCTGTCTGTCTACCTCGTGTGTATTGTATCCGTGTGTGCATGTGTATATGCAGTGGTTGCGCCTTTTAATGTGCGAATGTGTTCTTGAATTTTAGAGAATGCAAAATTAGCATGAACGAAAATAAATAATCCAGAAAAACGCAACTGACGTTCCCGTATTTTCAACCTCCATCAAAAGAAGAAGAAGAAGAAGAAGAAATAAATAAAAATACAAGAAAGAGTCTCAAAATCAAGTCGGAAAGAACAAGCTTTAACAGCAAGAAAACGAGAGGAACTTGCTCTTGCTTGCGTGGTTCCCAAGGTGAGCCATCCATGCAAGATAATTTTTATTTTTTATTTTTAGGATGATATGACGCAACATTTGTTTGTTTGTTTGTTATCCTAGTATTACGTGATTCAGTTTGTTTTCTTGTCTTTTTTGTGTTTAATTTATTCTTAGTTAATTTTGGATAATATTTTAGAGTCTCATTATTTGCGACGAAAGAAACGACCGATTTGATTTTTGTTCCATTCGTAGTTCCTTTTCCTTTTTCTTTTATTTTTTCATCTTTAATCTACGTTTATTTACTGATTTGTTTATCTGTGTATTTGTCAATCAATTTCTTAATTCATTCATCAGTTTAGTTTTTTTTCTTCTAATTAATCTATTTATCTATTTGTTTGTTTTCTATCTATCTATTTGTATATTTTATTTAGAATGTAATTATTTTTTCCCCAAATGGAATATAAAACAATATACAACTTCTTTCCGATAAAAAATCTTAGCAGAGGGCAAATGTACATTAGAAGTGAATAAAAAATCAAAAATTCTATTTTCGCTTGTAACACTTCCATCCACATTAAGATTTAAAAATTCATCCACATTGAAAATGTATTGTTAAATATTCTAATGTCATACAAATGTTCATGTATGTGTGTATGTGTATGTGTGTATATGTGAGTGTGGGTGTGTGCATTGTATATGTGTATGTGCGTGTGTGCGATATGCTTCCTGTACTTGTTACAAAGCCTTGTCCACACACACATATATATTTACATATATATATATGTGTGTGTGTGTATATCCTCATTATCCTTCTTCAGTCGTGTTGAAAACCTACTGATTTGCTGACTCGATTCTTGGCCAGGGTGATGTCAGGACTTCAGGCGAAGAGGGTATCAGAAAGGATAAGGGCCCATGAAGTCAGCTTCCAGGCTAGTATAATGGTAACGTGTCGGCCTTTCATCCAAGGGGTCGGCGGTTCGCGCCCCGCCCAGGCGCGAGAGATTGCAATTGTCGCCTGGGGGTTACTACTGTGGCTGGGCACCACGGCGAGTAAGGACTAAGCCGAGTCAGCACCAGCTGACACACATTAGCGAGTTGGCATTAGTCGACACAGGCCGGGCTCCCCTCACAACCCGGGCGAGGCTCAGCTTCGCAAATCGGACTTATCCTTATCCCCTGAAATCACAGGGGCAGGGGGGCTGGTAACAAAGGCAATCTGTGGTAGGAAATTACGAAACAATATTAGTGTCGTAGGCACCGTATGTAAGCTTATACCCTAAATATCTCATGTGGTTGCTAATTTCTGTTAATCTATATCATCGATTAAAGAAAGAAAAAACATTGGCGTTAACCTATTGAGGTCTGCATTGCTTGTTAAGATATATATGTATATATATGTATATATATATCAAAGTCTAGTTATATAAATTTGCTAAAACTAAATAGAGATACATTGGAGTTAAGTTTCCTGTCTGAAAGTCTTCAAATGGTCAATCAACACACGCATAATGATAATGGTGGTGATGAATATGAAGCCCATGGTGATTAAACCTAAACACAGAAATTCAGAATTATTACGTATGAAATAAGTCCCACACAGAAATAGTTTTGTATTGCCCTTTTACTAACACAGGTGCTCTGTCCTCCATTACGTACTAACCTCTGCGCATTCTTGTCAAGACTTCCTCGGGACTCATATGCTTCGATTCCGCCATCAGCAAGACCAGAGCCAACCTGCCGAGGTAATTCAGTGTCAAGATTACAACACCAATGAACATTTCGGACAGAATGCCATTTGTTCAACAATTTTATCAAAATCTAAAGTCTTCAGTCTTATCAGATATCACTATATTTTCTATATTGTTTATTAATAATAGTGAATTATACATATGTGCCTTCTGATACTCACACAAAGAAAACGAACACGAAGATGGTTTGCTTCATTGTAATGCTTAGATTTTCCAGCTTGCACTGAGTCGTCAGAGGTCCTGCTCGCGCTATTTATGGGACGAGGCCAGGGCAAGGGAGGTCAGCATGGAGTTACCAGTTAGCTATTTATTATTCGCTATTATCTTCTCCTTTGTTCATATTACATGATCGTCGTGATAACTGCTTCACCGACACTTACTAAAAAGGAACTCAAATAGATACGTTTCAGAGTATGAATGACTGAAAGAAACTCTGAAGGAGAAGAAGGGAAGGAGATGAAGATGTATGAGAAGCAAAGGGTGGAATTTCTTACAGAATTTCTTGCTTCTCATTACGTCTTTATCTTCTTAGGACTTCAAATTCTAAGAAGCTGGATTCACTGTGATGTTACAACTCGATATAAGAACACCAAAAGAGCATATGCACGCACGGATACACTTACACAAACATATACTGTATATATATACATATATACATATGAACCGAGTTCATGTTGACAAATTAAAAAATGTATGAATGAGAATGAATAACTTCACAATACAAGAGTTGTATTAACCAGGTTCGATTTTATCTTCGTCAGAAATACGTGTATTTCTGACAAAATATAATCGAAACCGGTAAAATAATACTCTCATATTGTGAAGTTATTCATTCTTATTCATACCTTTTCTACAACATATATACTAGAAATGCTACATAAAAATAACGATATGCTGCTTATTTGTATTCTGTATGCATATATCAGGATTAGTTTCTCTTTCTTTCTCTTTCTGGTAGCTCTTATTTTATCATTTTTATTATTTGTTATCATTATCGTTATTATTAATCATCATTAACGCTATTTAATCACTATAATTCGTGTTAGGAAGAGAGCGTGAGAAATAGAAAGAGACAGAGAGAGAGGGAGAGCAGAGAGAAAGAGAGAGAGAACGAGAGAGAGAGCAGAGAGAGAGAGAGAGAGAGAACGAGAGAGAGAGAGAGAACGAGAGAGAGAGCAGAGAGAGAGAGAGAAAGGGAGAGAGAGAGAGCAGAGAGAGAGAGAGAGAGAACGAGAGAGAGAGAGAACGAGAGAGAGAGAGAAAGAGAGAGTGAGAGAATGAGAGGGAAAGAGAGAGAGAAGGAGAGAGGGAGGGAGAGCGAGAGCCAGAGAGAGATGAGACAAGAGAGAGAGAGAGAGAGTGAGAGTTTTTCCCTAATTCGCCCTAAGGCTGGCAGTGCATTCAGCAGCCAATAAACCCACCCACACCCACAATACATATATATATAGGCATGCATATATTCATATATCTACACACACTCACACACACACATATATATACATATATATATATGTTTATATATAAAACATATAGTATATACACATGCATATCTATGTATATGCATGCATACATACATAATCAAGTCGGGAAGAACAAGCTTTAAGAACTTGCTTGCGTGGTTCCCAAGGTGAGCCAACCATGCAAGATAATTTTTAAATTTTATCTTTAAGATATGACGCAACATTTGTTATCCTAGTATTCCGTGATTCAGTTTGTTTTTCTTGTCTTTTTTGTGTTTAATTTATTATTCATTAATTTTGGATAATATTTTAGAGTTTCATTATTTGCGACGAAAGAAACGACCGATTTTATTTTTGTTCCATTCGTAGTTCCTTTTTCTTTTTCTTTTATTGTTTTTTTTTCATCTTTAATCTGCGTTTATTTACTGACTTGTTTATCTGTGTATTTGGCAGTCAATTTCTTAGTTCATTCATCAGTTCAGTTATTTCTTCTTTTATTAATTAATCCATTTATCTATTTGGTTGAAATCTATTTATCTATTTGTATATTTTATTTAGAATGTAATGATTTTTTTCCCAAATGAAATATAACTTCTTTCTGATAAAAATGTCTTGGCAGCGGGCAAATTTACATTAAAAGTGAATAAAAAAAATCAACAATTTTATTTTCGCATGTAACACTTCCATACAGATTAAGATGTAAAAAAATATCCACATTGAAGATATATGTATTGTTAAATATTCTCATGTCATATAAATGCTCATGTCTGTGTGTGAGACTGTGAGTGTGTGTGTATGTGTGAGTTTGGGTGTATGTGCGTATGTGTGTGTGTGCGATATGCTTCCTGTTACGAAGCCTTGTCCACACACACACACACACACACACACACACACACACTCACACACACATACTCACAAACACACATACACACATCCTCATGATCCTTCTTCAGTTGTAGTGAAAACCTACTGATGTGCTGTCTCGATTCTTGGCCAAGGTGATGTCAGGACTTCAGGCGAAGAGGGCTTCAGAAGGATAAGGGCCCGTGAAATCACAGGGGCAGGGGAGCTTGAAACAAAAACAGTCTGTGGGAGGAAATTACGAAACAGAATATTAGAGTCGGAGGCACCGTATGTAAGCCTATACCTTAAATATCTCATGTGGTTGCTAATGTCTGTTAATCTATATCATCGATTAAAGAAAGAAAAAACAACATTGGCGTTAACCTATTGATGTCTGCATTGCTTGTTAAGATATATGTATATACATATATCAAAGTCTAGTTATATAAATTTGCTAAAACTAAATAAAGATACATTGGAGTTCAGTTTCCCAGTCTGAAAGTCTTCTCAAAAGATCTATCAACAGACGCATAATGATGAGGGTGGTGATGAATATGAAACCCATAACACAGTGATTCAGAATTATTACGTATGAAATAAGTCCCACACAGAAATAGTTTTGTACTGCCCTTTTACTAACGCTCTGTCCTCCATTACGTACTAACCTCTGCGCAGTCTTGTCAAGACTTCCTCGGGACTAATATGCTTCGATTCCGCCATCAGCACGACCAGAGCCAACCTGCCGAGGTAATTGTCAAGATTACAACACCAATGGACATTTCGGACAGAATGCCATTTGTATGGCAATATTATCAAAATCTAAAGTCTTCAGCCTTATCAGATATATTTTTTTATCGTTTATTAATAATAGTGAATTATACACATTACCCTCTGTGCCTTCTGATACTCACACAAAGAAAACGAACACGAAGATGGTTTGCTTCATTGTAATGCTTAGATTTTCCAGCTTGCACTGAGTCGTCAGAGGTCCTGCTCGCGCTATTTATGGGACGAGGCCAGGGCGAGGGAGGTCAGCATGGAGTTACCAGTTAGCTATTTATTATTCACTATTATCTTCTCTGTTCCTGTTATATGATCGTCGTGATAACTGCTTCATCGACACTTACTAAAAAGGAACACTGCGTTTCAGAGTATGAATAACTGAAAGAAACTATGAAGGAAAAAAAGGGAAGGAGATGAAGATGTATGTGAAGCAAGGGTGGAATTTCTTACAGAATTTCTTGCTTCTTATTACGTCCTTTTCTTCCTAGGACTTCAAATTCTAAGAAGTTGGATTCACTGTGATGTTACAACTCGATATTAGAACACCTAAAGAGCATATGCACGCACGGATACACATACACAAACATATACTGTATATATATACATATATACATATGAACTGTGTTCATGTTGAAAATTAGAAAAGGTATGAATGAGAATGAATAACTTCACAATACAAGAGATGTATTTAAACAGTTTCGATTTTATCTTCGTCAGAAATACATGTATTTCTGACGAAATATAATCGAAACCGGTCAAATACATCTCTCGTATTGTGAAGTTATTCATTCTCATTCATACCTTTTCTAATTTTCAACTAAGTTATTCATTCTTATTCATACCTTTTCTACAACACACACACATATGTATATGCTAGAAATGCTACATATAAATAGCAATATGCTGCTTATTTGTATTCTGTATGCATATATCAGTATTTGGATTAATTTCTCTCTCTCTCTGGTAGCTCTCATTTCATCATTTTTATTATTTGTTATCATTATCATTATTATCAATCATCATTATTGTTATTTAATCACTATAATTCGTGTTAGTACGAGAGCGTGAGAGATAGAAAGAGACAGACAGATAGAGAGAGGGAGAGCAGAGAGAAAGAGAGAGAACGAGAGAGAGAGAGAGCAGAGAGAGAGCAGAAAGCAGAGAGTAGAGAGAGAGAGAGAGAACGAGAGAGAGAGAGAAAAAGAGAGAGTGAGAGAATGAGAGAGGAAAAGAGAGAGAGAGAATGAGAGAGGGAGGGAACTAGGGATGGAAAGAGAACGAGAGAGAAAAAGAGAGAGAGAGGACGAGGGAAAGAGAACGAGAGTGAGAGAGAGAGAACGAGGGAAAGAGAACGAGAGAGAGAGCTAGAGAGAGCGAGAGAGATGAGACAAGAGAGGGAGAGGGAAAGAGAACGAGAGAGAGCTAGAGAGAGCGAGAGAGAGATGAGACAAGAGAGAGAGAGAGAGTGAGAGTTTTTCCCTAATTCGCCCTAAGCCTGGCAGTGCATTCAGCAGCCAATAAACCCACCCACACCCACACACATACATATATATATATAGACATGCATATATTTATATATCTACACATGTTTATATGGAAAACATATATATAGTATATAGACATGCATATATATATATATGTATATGTATGCATACATACATAATAGATGTTCAGGAAAGAGTCTCAAACTCAAGTCGGGAAGAACAAGCTTTAAGAGCAAGAAAACGAGAGGAACTTGCTCTTGCTTGCGTGGTTCCCAAGGTGAACCAACCATGCAAGACAATTTTTATTTTTTAGTTTTAGGATGATATGACACATTTGTTTGTTTGTTTGTTATCCTAGTATTCCGTGATTCAGTTTGTTTGTCTTGTCTTTTTTGTGTTTAATTTATTATTCATTAATTTTGGATAATATTTTAGAGTTTCATTATTTGCGACGAAAGAAACGACCAATTTTATTTTTGTTCCATTCGTAGTTCCTTTTTCTTTTTCTTTTATTGTTTTTTTTTCATCTTTAATCTACGTTTATTTACTGACTTGTTTATCTGTGTATTTGGCAGTCAATTTCTTAGTTCATTCATCAGTTCAGTTATTTCTTCTTTTATCAATTAATCCATTTATCTATTTGTTTGTAATCTATTTATCTATTTGTATATTTTAGAATGTAATGATTTTTTCCCAAATGGAATATAAAATAATATACAAATTCTTTCTGATTAAAATGTCTTGGTAGCGGGCAAATTTACATTAAAAGTGAATAAAAAAATCAACAATTTTATTTTCGCATGTAACACTTCCATATAGATTAAGATGTAAAAATTCATCCACATTGAAGATATATGTATTGTTAAATATTCTCATGTCATATAAATGCCCATATATGTGTGTGAGATTGTATGTGTGTATGTGTGAGTTTGGGTGTATGTGCGTATGTGTGTGTGTGCGATATGCTTCCTGTTACG